TGGATGGTTGAGTGGATGGTGGATGAGAGGATGGATGGATGGATGGATGAATTGATGGATGGCTACATGGATAGATAGGTGAATGGGTGGAAGGTGACATAGTTGAATAGTGGGTTGCTGAGGATAGAATAGTAGGCAAAGACCAGGTCATGAAGGCCTTATAAGGAGCTTGAGCCTGGTGAGGAAAGCCATTAAGGGGTTTAAGCAGAAAAGTTACAAATGACATCTGTAATTTTGAAAGCCTCCTCTGGTTCCTGTAGATAATGGGCTGGTGGAGGTACACAACTGGAAGCAGGAAGACTGGTTAGGGACTGTTGCAATGAGAGACAACGGTGACCTGAAATTAGCTGAGTGGCAACAGGGATGGATAAAGTGGGCAGTTTCCACAGGTTTTCAGAAAGCACAATCATCAGGCCTGTATAGCTGTTAGATGTGTAGGGTAGGAGAGTGAGGCATCTAGGGGACCCCCATCTGATTGTGCAGCCAGGGAGCAGCAGCACCTTTCATCAAGGCAAGGGAAAGGAAGAGGGGTTATTGTGACTGTCACGGCCCCTGGAGCATTTTGTGGCATTTATCTTTCCCCTCCTGCACCCCAAGGGCAGACCCCACACCTTACTCCTTCTTGGCTGTACCCCTGGAAGTTAGAGAAGTGCTGGGTACTTGGCCAGTGTTTGGAGTTGTTGGACTAACGAGTGATACAAAGTCGGGATTAGACCACCTCAAGGGTCCGTCCTTCCTTACCTGCCTCATGACGGTACACGAGGGACAGCAGGTCAGGGTGGAGTGGCAGAGGGGACCCTCCTTAGCTGTGCTGCCCCTGAGACGGTACACCCAGGGATGGGCAGGTCCATGTGGCAAAGCTCCCAGTGGGGCGGTCCGAGGGGACAGCGTCTGTGTCTGGTTTCAGGCCGCAGGCTCTCTGTAATCACCACCAGACCCTCAGCTCCTTCCCACCAGCACCATGTCCCACTCTCTGCTCCACGCTCTTGCCTTGAGGAATCCCTTTGTCATGACAGATGTCATAATGATGCCATGTGAAGCAAGCCGACTTGGATGGTGAGTGTGTCCGCTTGCACCACAGGAACAGGGTTTGGCAATGAACAAGAGACCCACTATTATGACATGTCCTTGGGGAAGTAGGTCAGTGTCCCCAGATGGTCAGAGAGGGAACCAGCATGAGGTGTCTCGGCCGCAGGACTTCCTTTTTCTCAGGTCCCTGAAAGTGGGTACAGGACCCCTTTGGTTTTCCTGTCAGGAATGTGTCTCCTTCCCAAAGTCTCCCACTCCCTCCCTGCTCCCCTGCTTGCTCTGAGGTGCCATCCCCGTGTGTATACCTTCCATTCTGACTTGTGGTGACCCCGTGTATGTTAGAGTAGAACTGTGTGCTCCAGAGAGCTTCCAGTGGCTGATTTTTTGGAAGTAGATCACCAGGCCTTTCTTCTGCGGTGCCTGTGGGTGTACTCGAACCTCCAACCTTTTGGTTAGCAGCTGAGCACGTTAATTCTTTGCACCACCCGAGGCCTCCCAATAATTTAGACCCCATTAGTTTATAATTTGTAATAATCATTGAGATAAGCTTGACCAAAAGCAACCTTCTTGAACTTGCAGAGAAAGGGATTGCCAAGCACATTAGAAGCATGAACACTATTGCTGGGATGATGTTTGCATTTAAAAGGACCCGATTTTTCAAGTGGACTTAAGCAGTTTCTCCAAAGCTGTTTAGGGCGAGGCTGTCTCTGGAGTCAGACTCCGTGGGTGTGAGCCTTTCTCAGCCCCCGGCCAGCAAGGTCACCTACCGCTTTCATTCTCCTTCCCCTTCCTTGGAAAACGCACACACTGGCCTCGCAGGCTGCTTGTGAGGATGAAGGGGATGACGCTGCGAAGCTTCTAGCACGATGCTGGATACGCCACAGGGGGCAGCGCCTGCACCTGTTATGAATCTGTTCAGGGCAGATTTAGGAGCTTCTCCTGGGGGCTTCAGAGACGTACAGACATCAAAGGCAGGGTCTGTCCTCACGGAGAAGGGAGGACGACGTGGACTATCTCTCCATACGATGGGAAGTGGTAAAGACTGGAGGAACGGATGGATGACAGGAACCAGCCAGGAAGGAGACCGGCGCCCCTGGCCTGGCAGGCGTGCCGGCACCCAGCAGACGTGCCCCGTGGACCCAGTGTGCTCGGCGCTGACCGGTCACAGGATGGCATCTGAACGGGACTTTGAGGGCGGGTGGGGTGTAAGTGGGAGAGTGGACATTCCCCTCCGGCGTCTGCAGTGTGGACTCGGCACTCCGGTACCACAGACACCCATGGTGAGTGCCGAATCAGATTCAGGACGAGGGGCCGAGGGGCAGCTCAAGAACGTGCATGGGACTGGGAAGCCTCCACTATTTGCCAAGCCGGAAATCCTACCTCCCCTGTAGCAGGGCCTCTACTGACGCCTCCTAGTCCGGGGCCTTTGGTCACGCCTCTGAGCGCACTTAAACCTCCCAGGATCCCTCAGGTTCAGGACTCAGCTCCAGCCGACCTGCCTGCTTGGGGTCCACTCTGACCCTCTATGCCACCTGATCCCCTCCCCACCTCAAGCTCCTGGAGCCCCCAGGCCCACCCTCCATGGCCCTTGCTACTACTGCCTTACTTCCCGATTCCCCCTGCCGGCATGTGGTCCCTGGAACCTGGGATGGTCCCAGTTACCTCTGATCCCTGGCTCAGTAGATGAGGAGGCCACCATAACCCAGATTTCACTGTAACGTGTGTGCAGTTTGCTCCGGGAGTCAGAGATACGAGGCTTCTTAGACAAACACGTGGCTCCCTCCGGCCCTTCTCCCCGCTGTCTGCCGTTCAGACGGTGCCAGCAAAGGGCTTCCCAGGCAGAGCTGTGGGCTCAAGAGAGGTCCTCGTCTTCCCCACGTGTCCGGCGTGGACATGGCCTTCTGTGGGGCATAGAAGTGCGTTTTTCAGCCCACACAAACGAAAAAGCTCAGCCATTCAGCAGAACAGCCAGCTGCAGTTTGGTTATTTCACATGGTCGTTGGTGACGGCGGCTCCCTTTCGGAGCGGGGTGGGCAGAGAACAGTGTTTGGCTTGTTGGGGGATGTTTGTAACGGCACCCAGCGTGGAGAAAGGAGAATGTCCCTTTAGAGGCCTTCTTTTTGGGGTAGGTGGGGGGTGGGGATGTGGGGCTAGAGGGGAGGGTTTGGTGAAGCCAGCGGCCATCCTGTCTCTGCACAAAGACGCCTCTCTGTCTGCCTGGCCTCGCCTCTCTGACAAGCCGGGATCGTGGGGGAACGGGACCCTCCCCTCCCGGGAGCCCAAGACAGGCTGCGGGGAGACGTGGACCAGGAGTACAGGCTGCTGCTGGCACACGCAGGGAGAAAAATCAGAAAACCAGCTGTTGGCGAGTTGATTCAGACTCACGGCGACCCCGTGTAGGTCAGAGTAGAACTGTGCTTCGTAGGTTTTCAATGGCTGATTTTTCAAAAGCAGATCGCCAGGACTTTCTTTCCAAGGTGCCTCTGGTAGACTTGAACCTTCAAACTTTTGGTGAGCAGCAAGCACGTTAACCGTTTGCGCCACCAGGAATTCCCCTTTAAAAGGGAAGGCCCGCGGGAGACCGCTCTGTGACGCACGTGTCATTGGATGCCCACGTGCGGTGGAGAAAACAGCTCCCTCCTGGGCCACCGACCTCTGGCCGTGGGAGTCCCTCTCCCCCGTGCCCGTTTTGTCCCTTCTCAGCTGCCATGCTTGGTCATTATACATTTATTGGGGTGCTGATTGATTTATTGTTGTATCCCCTGCAAGACGAAGCCACGCTCGACAGCCTTCGACTTGACTTGTTCACTCTCTGTCCCTGGATCAACACGGTGCAGATGTGTGTGAATGAGCGTGTGTGTGTGTGTACAAGTGTGCGCGTGCAGGTGTGGCAGCCACGGGGTTGTGGATGATGTCTAGCTGTCTGGCGGCCCGCTCATGGCCCCAGCCCCAAGCACTGTCTCTGCTGACTCTCGCAGCCTGGGAAAGCCTGGGGCCCTGGGCTGTGCATCCCTCTGGGCCAGGCAGTGGTCCTGTGCCTCGGTGCTGTCTGCAGAGCAGCCTTGCCCATCTGCCTGTAGCCACGCAGGCAAGAACCGGGGAACTGTTTCTCCTGCCTCGAGGATCAACAGCACCCACCTTCATCTCTCCCCGTCACTTTCCATCCTTGGAAAAGGTGTTCAGCTTAATTTTCTCAAAGCGCGTGTCAGGGTGAGCACCGGCCCCTCGGTTTTAGAATCTTCCTCTGGGGTTACTCCGCCTCTTTGTACTGAGACGGCACCTCGCAAAGCCTCTAGTGGGTAACGAGTACTACCGGCCATTACCCACCCCAGCTGGCAGGTCCTCTTTCTGCTTGATTAGATTTGTAGAGATATATCTTTATAGACCCCCACACGTCTGTCAGTTTGTCATATTGTAGGGACTTGCGTGTTGCTGTGATGCTGGAAGCTGTGCCACCAGTATTCAAATACCTGCAGGGTCACCCATGGCGGACAGGTTCCAGCTGAGCTTCCAGACTAAAACATACTAGGAAGAAAGCCCTGGCGGTCTCCTTCGGAAAAGAATTAGCCAGTGAAAACCTTATGAACAGCAGCGGAACGGTGTCAGAAGATGAGCCCCTCAGGCTGGAAGGCACTCAAAAGATGACCGGGGGAAAAAGGATTGTCACAGCAGCTGCAACAATGGGCTCAAGCGTAACAACGATTTCGAGGATGGTGCAGGACCGGGCAGTGTTTTGTTCTGTTATACACAGGGCCGATAGGAGTTGGAACCGACTCGATGGCACCTATCAACAACAACAACAATTTTTATAAATGATATTTCTAGATGTCACTAAGAAATAAAGAAGTTCTTTATTCCGTTTTCTCAGCCCTTGGCTAACTGTGGATAGTTCTCAAGTTTAAGAGAAAGGCTTTCTCCTTTATTACAAAACTTTATTGCCTTGGACACTCTTTTCGTATTCAGAGTGTGCTCCAATTACATGCAATTAAGCCACACTAAGATGCAGGCGGGTAACGCTTGGGCATATTACTTCGGAGAATGTAAACTCTGTCATGATTTTTTTCTAAAAGCTCAGAACACAGGCTCGTCTGCCAGCTCCTAGGCATTGCGTTTTGCAAGGAAGGCTGGAAACTCAGTCTCGGCATCCCCCACCCACATCTGGATCCTTGGCAGGCCTCCCGTTTGTTCTCCAGCTGAGATGCCATGGAAGCGTTTGGTTTTTAAATGCTTCAAGGCCTGATTTTTCAGAAACCTTTGAATATCCTGCATTTGACTTCTGAAATTTGGCCCAGGAAGGATGTCCTTAATAAGAATGTCGCTCCTATAACAAGTGGATTTTACTTCTTAAGAAACGTCTTTAATTTGAACTTCCATAACGATGTTTTCATAATTATCACACGGCATGAGGGAGATGCTGGCTCTCTTCATTTATCCTTCTTGGTGTCACAAGATCGGTGAGGATTTGTAAGAGAAGAAAGAGGTGCTTCGATTAATAAACCCCATGGTAACTAAGGAGCCCTGGTGGCATAGTGGTTAAGTGTTTGACTGCTAACCAAAAGGTCGGCAGTTTGAATCCACCAGCCACTCCTTGGAAACCCTATGGGGGCAGTTCTACTCTGTCCCACAGGGTCGCTATGAATCGGAATCAACTCGATGGCAGTGAGTTTTTTAGGATAACTAATAGGACTGCATCTTTTTTTTCCCGTCCTGTGGCTGTTTTAAGTACTTCAATTGATTCACGTCTCTGTGGAAATGTGAAAAAAGCGTGGATCCAGTACGTGCACTGCACCAAAGTTTAGTGATTTTCTGGTACAAATTGTGCGCTCCTTTTTATTCCTTCCCAGATGTTTGCAGTGGGAAGTGAGGGCCGTCCCTGCTGTGAGGTGTTTATGTTTCTTTCTATGCGGGAGGAGTAACGGCTTCCTTTTGTATTCCTTCTGCAGTTTATATCAAAGCGTAAATCTATAAATGACCTCCTTTGGTATTAAAGCATAAATTTACATGTATTTTAGTGGGGAGATTTTAGATCCCAAACCCAAGCCAGCTGCCATCACAGGGACTCTGACTCATGGCCCACATGGTCAGAGTAGAACTGTGCTCCATAAGGGTTTCAATGGCTGACTTTTCAGAAGTAGATTGCCAGGCCTTTCTTCGGAGGCACCTCTGAGTGGACTCAAACCTCCAATAGTTCAGTTAGCAGCTGAGTGCACTAACTATTTGCACCACCCATGGATTCCTTGTTATTGTTGTTAGGTGACGTCGAGTCAGTTCCGACTCATAGCAGCCCTACATACAACAGAACGAAACACTGCCTGGTCCCGCACCATCCTCATAATAGTTGCTATGCTGGAGCCCATGGTTGCAGCCGCTGTGTCAATCCATCTCCTTGAGGGTCTTCCTCTTTTTCGCTGACCCTCTACTTTACCAAGCCTGATGGCCTTCTCCAGGGCTGATCCCTCCTGATAGCATGTCCGAAGTACGTGAGATGAAGTCTTAGCATCCTCACCTCTAAGGATCATTCTGGCTGTACTTCTTCCAAGGCAGATTTGTTTGTTCTTCTGGCAGCCCACAGTATATTCAATATTCTTCATCAACCCCATAATTCAAAGACGTCAATTCTTCTCTGGTCTTTCTTACTGAATGATAAAACGGGCTTAATTTGCACTAAGTGGGAGAACCTTCCCCAGGGCAGTGGAGTCTGGCCCTGTAGACCTCGTATCTGCCCAGCACCCACTGGGCCTGTCCGTTAGCAAAATACCACACTCTCTCACACTTGGGCCATGCCTCTGGAGACCTGAAGTTTCCTGTCTTTGGTCACACCGGGCCCTTTGCCTGTACTGCCCTCCTCCTGGCCCCAGCGCTGAGGGTCCCCAGCAGCCCCATGGGCACATCTGTGCAGCTGCTGGGCCCACAGTGGCCTCCTGCTCGGCACCTGCACTGGCTGTGAGCCAGCGATCAGGTCAGAGCTGGCTGGCAGGGTCTTGACTAAGCGTCACAGCAGCTCCACGTGCAGACAGGCATACGGATCCTCATGTTCCACGGAAGGAGATGGAAGCTTCCACCATTTCCGTCCTGCCGGCCAGTGTTGTCGATGCCTCATCTCGGTCACTTGTGCCGTTTACCTCCAAGAAGGATTTGAAACAACTTACAACAGGATAACTGACCAGCTTCTGCCGAGTTAATTCTGAGTCATGGTGACCCCATGGGTCAGAGTAGAACTGTGCTGCGTAGAATTTTCAAGGCCGTGTGAGCTTTCAGAAGCAGATCACCAAGCCTTTCTTCTGAGGTTCCTCTGGGTGGGTTCAAACCACCAGTCTTTTGGTTAGTGGCTGAGTGCTTAACCATTTGTGCCACCTAGGGATCCCCACAACACGACAGTAAGACAGAATGAAATTTGACTGCAGACACCCCGTGCGGGAAGGCAGAGCGTCTTGTATCAAGACAGGGCGGAGTGCGAGAGGGTAGTTTGTAATCCGGGTGGAGCCGGGTTTAGATGCTGTCTTCCCCACTCGCCAGCCGAGCGACCTTTGAACGTCTGACGTACTCTTTGAACTCCACTTTTCATATCTATGAATTCTCAATAATAATAACTGGGTCATTACAAGTATTAAATTAAAATGAATATTTTTGGAAGCACCTTGCGCTAGAAGGCATTCAATACGTGCCAGCTCCCTTCTGCTGGAGATAAGATGTTGCAAGTGTGCCTTAAATTCGGCCCTCAGCTTCCTGGTTGACAAGGCAAAAATGAAAACACAATAGCTTGCATTGTTCGAGTCTGATTAAAGGAATGTTCCCAGTTTTTCAGGAAACATGAACACTTTCCTACTGCTGGGTTCTAAGAGACTGTATTTTGGAGACCTGAGTAACCCTGTGGACAGAATTTTCAACGGTGGTTTTTTTCCCCTCTCATAAGACGGAAAAATCTCCTTTCTGTCTCTGTAGCGTGTATTAATGCTTCCATGAAGAAGTATGGATTGGAGGACATAATAATAAGTTAATTATGGAGAATTAATGCCTTGGAGCTACAGTTAAGTAAGTTCTGTTCCTCCATTTCTTTTCTGTCTCTTTTTAGTGGAAATCCTATAATAACGACATGAAAGCAGGGGCAGTCTGGGGTGAGAGAAGAAATCTCTCATTCAGCCAGCGCTCACTGATGCCTCCTGTGTACGGTCCATCCGTGAGCACAGGCGACAGAAATATGCTCCACCGACTTTGAGGGTCCCTGAGGGATGCAGGAGGTGACGTCTTGTTCCAGGGTGCTGTGTATTCTTGCCCTAGGCATTTGTAAAGGAGAGGGTCAGACTGGAGGTCTTTTCTGCTATAAAAGCACACATCTGTAGAATCATAGTGAGTTTCAACACTGGGGTAGTCGAGAACTGAGGAGTTCTTCACACACGTTGTCAGCGCCCTTGTGAAAGAGTGTTCACAAGCAGTTGCAGCTTTGTTCAAAGAGTTTGTGGCAGCAGGGACGTGCTTTTCAGGGACACAGGCTCAGGGAGGCACAGTTGTCTCGTTCTTTTCCCCGTCGACAAGAGTTTGGATTAGCTTGCAGCCTTCGGATGAATGTTCAAAGGATTGAAGTTGAGTTTATTGTTTTTCCATGTTGTTGTTGGGTGTTGTCAAGTCGGTTCCGACTGCTAGCGACCCCGTGTCCAACAGAAGGAAACACTGCCCAGTCCTGCGCCATCCTCACAATCGTTGTCATGCTTCAGCCCATTGTTGCAGCCACTGTGTCGATCCATCTTGTTGAGGGTCTCCCTCTTTTTCGCTGACCCTCTACTTTACCAAGCGTGATGTCCTTCTCCAGGGACTGGTTCCTCCTGATAACATGTCCAAAGTATGTGAGACAAAGCCTCACCAACCTCGTTTAGAAGGAGCATTCTGGCTACACTTCTTCCAAGGCAGATTTGTTTGTTCTTTTGGCAGTCCATGGTATATTCGATATTCTTCGCCAACACCATGATTCAAAGGCATCAATTCTTTGGTCTTCCTTATTCATCGTCCAGCTTTAGCATGCAGATGAGGCAATTGAAAACATCATGACTTAGATCAGGTGCACCTTAGTCTTCAAGATGACATCTTTGCTTTTTACTGGAGGCCTGGTGGGCAGTGGTTAAGAGCCACGGCTGCTGACCAAAAGGTCAGCAGTTCGAATCCATCAGCTGCTCCGTGGAAATCCTGTGGGGGAATTCTGCTCTGTCCTATAAGTCGCTATGGGTCGGAATCGACCAGACAGCAATGGGTTTTTTCCATAGTGGAACTTAAAAAACACCATCCATGTATGGGCCTGGGGAAGGAGTCCTGGCTGGTGTCCTTCCCTCGGCCAGCTGGGTCTTGACCACGCCCCCAGGCATCGCCTGGGAACTGCTGGCACCAGAATCCTGGGATTTTCCTGATGCTTGGGCATTATTGCCCAGTGGTGAAGAGCATGGCATTTGACATCTGATCTGGCTGGATTTGGTTTCTGGTCAACCTCTTACAGCCTGTGTGACCTTGTACCAGTTACTTCGGGGTCATCAGGAAGATTAGATGGGACACTAGAGGGGGAGATCATACATCCTTAGCACCAGCTCACCAGTTGCCATTGAGTCGACCTCAATTCACGGTGACCCCATGTGTGTCAGAGTAGAACTGTGCTCCATACGGTTTTCAATGACTGGTTTTTTGGAAGTAGATTGCCAGGCCTTTCTTCTGCAGTGCCTTTGGTGGTTTGGTTGGACTCAAACCTCCAACCTTTCAGTTAGCAGCCATTAACTGCTTGTAGCGATTAACTTTACACAAAGGACTTAATATCCTCAGTAAATGTGATTATTAGGTAGCAAGGGGGTGCAGCGCTGACCCCCGTGCCCGTGGCTACACCCACTGCCGCCCCCGTGGTACAAGCAGTGGCCTTTCTGTCCTAGCCAGAGATGCCCCTGGTGGGGATCTCATCCTGTGCAGTGTAAGGCACGTGCACCAACATTGTCTCGTCGGGAAGTCACAGTGAAGTAGTAAGGGACGAGGTCCTTGATGCACAGAGAGCGTGGTCACCCAGATGGGAAGGTCATCCAGTCTTCCGCAGCGTCAGCAGGCAGGGCTCCGGCTTGGGGACATGCAGGCCACCACTTCCTCCCTCCCTTGGGCTGTGGGTGTCAGGAGACACCAGGGGCCACGCATGAGGGCGGCGAGGCGTGGGGTTTCCCAGGAGACCACCATCAGCCACACACCTCCTTCAGCCTCCAGCATCTCTGCAGATGCCTGGGACTTTTACACAGTGTGGTCCAGCAGGTCAAGGGCATACAATTCAAGCTGATCCCTTGAGCGGTAAAGACAGAAAATAATTTTCCTTGAGAACGACAGTGCACTGCAGTGGAAGCGGATGGGTGACCTTTCTAGGTAGACACAACAGAATGCCAGTCAAACATCACACTTTTGTTACAGTACGTTGTTCCAGAACGGAGAGCTGCATGTTTCTGCGACAATGCTGTTTTTGTTTTCCAGTGAATGCCACAGTGTTCTTCCACGTGGAGGAGGGGACCGTGACTGGTGCACAGAACTTTTTCAGTGGGCAAGGAAAAGTAGGTGTTTGTCCTCGGCAATGCTTATCAAGCTGGAGGACATTTTTGATCATAGCTCAGGGATGTACGAATTCCCCGAAAGCTTACCTTGTGTTAAGAATTCTATGTTAAATGGAGATATTTAGCGTTTCCTCTTTGAGACGCGACATTGGGTGCTCAAGAGGGTCTCTGCTCTCTCCCTTCCTTTGTTTTAGAGCCAATTTCTTCTCTGTGCATTTGACATTCTTATTAATGAGCTCTTTTCAATTGGTCAGGTCAGACGGTTAGGTGGGGGGAATCATTAAACCAAAATATTGGCAGATATTTGGCAAATTTGCCAATTTAGCAAAATAACTAATTAATCAGCAGCTCTTTCCCTGATCTGGTTTAATCATTTCTTTCTTAGAAATATTTAACACACTTCTCCGCTCTGGGTTCCATGCCCCTGAAAGAGTTGTGCCATTATCAGAATGGCTTTCTCCCTTGCTTTGATGCTAACGTACTTTCTTTGTCTTTCAGTAACTTGCTCTGGGTGTCTGGGAGCGTCGTCCATACAAGTACTTCTTGGTGGCTCTGGTGACCTAGTCTTAGTGAATGGCAGACTTTCCACCTACACTCCCACGCCAGGCCCCCGACCAGGCCTGAGGTCACCCTGACTCCTTCCCTCCGCCTCCCATTCATTCTCCAAGGCTTGGGGGTCCTGCCTCCTTGATCTCTCAGCAGTCCACAGCTCCATGCTCACCGCTGTCACCTTCACAGGGTCCTCTCCATCCCTCCCCTGGACTATCCATACAGCCTCCTTTTTGGTCATGGGTCCTAGGTCCACACTGAGCCCCTCCTGTCCTTTCATCCCCTTCCCTACTGCCATGGGGACCGTTCCCACACAGAGAGCAGAAGGGCCAAGTCAGACTTGCAAGCCTCTGCAGCCCCTCCTGAGGTCAATGCCTCCCAGCTTCTCCATGTCTCCACCTACCTCACCACCTCCTCCACTCCACTCTAGATCACTGGCATGATGGTGAATTCTGTGTGTGAACTTGTTAGGCTCTGGGTCCACCTGCCCCACCACCTCCTCCACTCCACTCTAGATCACCAGCATGATGGTGAATTCTGCGTGTGAACTTGGTTAGGCTCTGGGTCCATCTGCCCCACACTCCTCCACTCCACTCTAGATCACTAGCGTGATGGTGAACTGTTTGTGAACTTGTTAGGCCCTGGGTCCACCTGCCCCACCACCTCCTCCACTCCACTCTAGATCACCAGTGTGATGGTGAATTCTGTGTGTGAACTTGTTAGGCTCTGGGTCCCAGTTTGGCCAAGCACTAATCCAGTTGCTGTCATGGAGCAGTTAAAACCAGTTGTCATTGAGTCGACTCCAACTCATGACCAACTGATGTGTGTCAGAGTAGAACTGTGCTCCATAGGGCTTTTTCAATGGCTGGTTTTTTGGAAATAGTTCTCCAGGCCTTTCTTCTGAGGCACCTGTGCGTGGACTCAAACCTTTCAGTTAGCAGCCGAGTGCATTAACTGCTTGCACCACCCAGGGACTCCCATGGAGTAGTTACGGGTGATTACGTCAGTTGGCCTTGGGTAGAGCAGGTTACCTTTTGTAAGGTAACTCAATGTGATGCAATCAATCCATCATACCAGTGAAGGGTGGATCCTAAACCTAAATAAACACTTCTGAGTTATAAAAAGACCAGGATAGACACAAAGACACACAGAGAGGAAAACAGACACCATGTGAGGATTGTCGACAAGCAAAGGAACGCCAAGGACTGCCAGCAGACCTCAGAAAGTGGGAGAGAGCCTCAGAGAAGGAAACGATATGGTCGAGACACTGATTGGGACTTTTAGCCTCCAGAGCTGTGAGAACGTAAATTTCTGCTTTTTAAAGACTCCCTCTTGTGATATGTCTGTTACGGAAACAGGAGGAGACTAAGTATCTGCCCCGAGCTGGGTTCAGTGGTGGATCCTTTGGGGGTGTCTCATTTATTCACCCAGCGAGGTGAGGATTATTGTCCCCATTTCACAGGTCAGGAAACTACAGCTTAACATGGTTAAGTAACTAGTTCCAAGGTCAAAGCCAGGATTCACATCATTTGCCACTCATGAAATGCTCCAGGCACTCTAGCTTCCTTGCCTCTGTTGATGTTGTTTGCCTGGGAATCTTGTTCTAAGCAAAGATGCTCTAACTTGGCCAAGCGCAGGGTAGGTGCTCCTGCTTCCGTCTTTCACAGCCCCCTGGGCTTGTCACACTCCTAATGCTCATCCTCGGCATTTCAGGGATCTGTTTATGAAAGTTTGTCTCTTGGGTTTCTTTTACGGTAAAGACCTTGAGGTTTGGGCCATGTACTTTTTTTTTTTTTTTTTTAAATCTCTGAATCCTCAACACTTGGCATGGCATGGGCGCTTAGTAGATGCTCAATAAATGTGAAAAAACCAGCTCAACACACAGATCCAGTCATCCAACTAGTATTTTCTGGGTGACTACTGCGTGCACAGAACTGTTTATATCATGAAGAAATTCAAGGTAAAGATAAAAACCAAAACCATTACCATCAAGTCAATTCTGACTCGTGGTGACACCGTGCCCCCTGTGGTACAGAATAGAACTGCTCCATAGGCATTTCTTGGCTGAAATCTTTATGGAAGCAGATTGCCAGGCCTTTCTTCCCTGGTGCTGCTGGCTGAGTTCGCACCACCAACCTTTACGATAGGAGTTGAATGCAGACTGTAAACGCCACCCAGAGACCCTATAACAGGTTTGCATCCGAAAGCACCAGACCAGCTGCCGATTGTCCTGGGGTAACTGTCTGTGCCTTCTTTTCTTATCTGTAAAATGGGGAGTGTACCTGCCCACATCATCTGATAGCTGGGTGCCATCAAGTCAATTTTCGACTCATGGCAACACAATGTGACAGGGTAGAACTGCCCCATAGGGTTTTCCAGGCTGTGATCTTTATGGAAGAAGCCCTGGTGGCTCAACGGTTAAGCGCTTGGCTCCAAACCGAAAGACTGATGGTTTGAACCTACCCAGTGCGTCTGCAGGAGAAAGGCCTGGTGATCTGCTTCTGTAAAGATTATAGCCAAGAAAACCTTAGGGGGCAGTTCTACTCTGTCCTGTAGGGTCGCTATGAGTCAGAATCGACTGGATGGCCCTCAACAACAACAATCTTACAGGAGCAGATCTCCAGTTTTGTTTTTTTTCCTTTGGAGCCACTGGGTGGATTCGAACCACTAGTCTTTCAAGTTAGCAGCCGAGTGCTTAACCATTTGCACCCCCAGGGCTCTTTGGCCTACATCATAAGGCAGCTGAACACAGGACAGGCCACCCTTACACACACACCCCTGGGGCTGGGCGAGCACCCCTGCCCCTTGGAAGGGAGCACGTAGAATCACATTCCAGTGTTCCTGAATTCCGTGCTGACGATAATGATACAGACTGCGGGGGACGGATGGAAACTCAAAGCCATTTGTACTTGCAGAAGGGATGTGTCTGGCTTGCTAATTTGCAGTTTCCGAATCCCAGGAGGGTGCCCCTGACTGTGGGGTCCTTAGAGAAGTGTCATTATGTGTACTTGAGGCAGGGTGAGGAGGGGCTACGCATCAGAAAACGCTCATAGCAAGCAGGCAGGGAGGCACGGGGATCTGGGCTAAACAGCTGCCTGTGTATAATTTTTAAAAGTTGCCAAACATTTAGAAGTCCTGCTTGCCGGCCATAAATTGATGGAATGCACGGTTGAGAAAATACATGTCTTTCCAGCAGTAACGACGTTGTTTTAAAGACTTCACCCCTTTCCAAAGTGACTTGAGGCCCCAGGGCAGGCAGAATGAGATTCTGCCCAACTCCTCCCCGTTCAGGAAGCATCCCTCCCCCGAGTTCAGTCCCTCCTTCTAGCCTTTCTTTCATGCATTAGAAAATACAGAAATTAACAGCTTTGCTGATGCCTGGAGGGTAAACAAGCAAACTGTGAGAGTTGGCAGAGCGTGGGGATGAGATCAGTGAGACTCTGAAGCCGAAACGTTTTGCACTTGTGCCCCATCGTTCCAGTTACCACCTGGAAGCGGAATGAAGCTGTTCTTTGATAGAACACAGAAACCGCCAAGGAGGCCACCGCAGAGATTTCATCGGTCGATTTCCATTGCATTTCAGTTTTCATAACTGGGTCTCTGTTATTTTCTTATCTGCAGTGATGCTACTGTTCTTTGACCAGTCCACCTAAATTCATAGAGATAGCCATCGCTTGAGGGGGCCTGGGGCTGAGTGCTTGCTATTCCAAGTGCTCCGATGAATTTATCAGGACAACTCAATGTTGTTGGGGGAAAAGAGGAATCTAAGAGAACGAGGTCAAGAGGGAGGAATTTGGTCCTGGGGTTCTTATCCTTCCCAGTAAGATTGCTTCACGGCCAAAGTTCGTGGAATCTGATGGCATGATTTGGGTGTTTATTTGTGTGGCTTTGTTTTATAAAATTTTAATCCATCATAAAAAGGTGGTATTTCAGATGCAATATACAGGTAAAAATGTGCATACGTTGTTGTTTGCCATTGAGTCGATTCTGACTCATGGCGACCCCTTGAGTTATCGAACCGAATTGCTCCCTAGGGTTTTCTTGGCTGTGATCTTAGTGGAAGCAGATCACTAGCCTTTTTCTCCCGTAGTATTTCTGGGTGGGTTTGAACAACCAACCTTTATGTTGCAGTTGAACGCAAACAGTTTGCATCACTTAAAACCAAAAAAACCAAACCCGTTGCCATCGAGTCCATTCCAATTCATAGCGACCTTATAGGACCGAGTAGAACTGCCCCACAGGGTTTCCAAGGAGCAGCTGGTGGATTCGAACTGCTGACCTTTTGGTTAGCAGCCCAGCTCTTCACCACTACGCCACCAGGACTCCTGGGACCTTAAAAATGTGTATATAAATGTCTTAAAATACAATGCAAATGTGCACCCCAATTTTTTTTACATGTTGCTACACATTTAAAAAAGGGTCCTGGTGGTGCAATGGTTAAGTACTCAGCTGCCAACCAAAAGGTCATTGGTTCGAACCTACCCAGCTGCTCAGCTGGAGAAAAGACCTGACAACCTGCTCCTGTAAAAAGATTACAGCCTAGAAAGACCTATGGGGCAGCTCTGCTCTGTCCTACAGGGGTCGCTGTGAGTCGGAATGGACTCGGCGGCACTCAACAACAACACCACATTAAAAGACTAGCTCGTATATACAGCCTCGGCAACACAAAGCCTGCCTACTCGCGTGTTCCTGATGCTTCAGACCAAGGCTGTGTGTGAGCGGCCTTTTACTTTTGTCTGTGTTTGGAAAATGGGCCAGTTCCGTCCATCTCAGTCCTTTACAAGTCAGAAATAAGTTTAGTTTTTTCCCTTCCATGAAGCAGTCCCAACTGACTGATTCTCCATGCTGTAGTTTTGCTTTCTGCTTTGCTAAGTCTGGATGCACAGTGAGCTGGCTGGGTCTTCCCATATCTCGTGAGCCATCAGGACCAATCCCTGCAGCCTGGCCACTTCCTGTAGGAGCTCGGGCCCTGGGACCTGGCCCGCCCACCCTGTCCTCCTAGGGTCCTCTGTGTGGATTTCCCCTGTTCCGATGATGTCAGCCTGCCTCTCTTCCCAGGTCAGCTCTTCTTCCTGGAAGCCGAGTCGCTCCTCCTCTGTGCTCCTGGGACACCAGCTGCAGCTTCTCTGCCAGGCTGGCCCAGGCTTCTCTGAGCTGAGCTCCTTCCTGCAGATCCACTTCTCCCCGAGAAGTATCTGCTTAGGCTGGGCCTTTCCGGATCTTTCTGGGACATAGACCATAGTGGAGCTCTCCCTGGGGTCAGAAGGGATTTTATGAAAATTTCTGGTATCACAGTCACCCTCAACATGCCATTGGGATGACTCGGACTCATGGCGACGCCATGTGTGTCAGAGCAGAACTGTGCTCCACGGGGTTTTCAGTGGCTGACTTTTCCAAAGTAGATCACCAGGCCTTTCTTCTGACGTGCCTCTGGGTGGACTCAAACCTCCAACCTTTTGGTTAGCAGCTGAGTGCATTAATCATTTGCACCACCCTCTCAGCAATCCCCTCCCTGAGTCCTCTCTACGGGCAGGCCATGGGCCAGACACTGGGCATGTGTAGACAAGACAGTCCCCAGCTCTGAAGGAGCTACAGCTTCCCTGGAGGAACAGAGACACAGCAAACAGGCAAACATCAATAGCAACGTGTGCTGGCTTCCCCTGCGGCACCGCCACTGCCCTCTTAGCTGTAGGTGACCTTGGAGGAGGAACTCACCCTGCCTCTGTGTCCTCAGCATTAAAACGGGACTCCCCTCCCCACCAGGGTTGTTGTAAGATGAGGGAGAGATGCGCTAAGCAGACGCTGAGACTCTAACAGGCTACGTGAATCCAGTATCTTCTCTTTCTCTTCTTGGAGGGCTGTGCTGTTCAAGATACCACCGGGAACCTTCCTGTTTATGCAGCGAGATGGCGCATTGACCCGCTCTTCTCCCTCCTGACAAGAGCAGTTCGGTCCCCAGGAACCAAACTCTCCACTCTCGTATTTTTAATGTGCTTATTTCAGCATTTTCAAACCCTTTGCTAAGTGTTACAGTAGCCCGCTTCACCAGGGCCTTAGGCTAAAGGAAATGTTCACTTGGTAAGTGTTTGCTTTAGAGAACATTTTGGTTCTGTGGTGTTTGTTCTAATTCCGTCCTTAGAGAAACTGACAGCTGTGGTTTCACATGAACAGGGCTCAAAGCCATACAAAATGTCATCTGATTGTGGTTCCCCCCGCTCAGCGTTGCAGGAATTTTTAAGAAATAATTAAAATAAAACCCTTAGTCAAAATTGTTTGTGTTTGATTGAGATTTATCCAGTCATGTGTATTAATTTGTATAATCACCGAAGTGACAGGGTGCCTAGCTCTAGCCTGAGGCTGTTTCTTTCCTCGTGGTTTTCCGTCAGGTTTGACTGAAGCCTGATGCCTCTGTCTGCAGCCCTGCTCCAGAGCTTCTGCCTATCTCTGGGGCTTGTAAATTAAAGTGTCTCGGCGTGATGTTTGAAGATAAAACCAAACCAAACCCCTTGCCATCCAGTCGATTCCAACTCATAGCGACCCTACAGGACAGAGTAAAATGACCCCATAGGGTTTCCAAGGCTGTAAATCTTTATGGAGGCAGACTGCCACATCTTTCTCCCGGGGAGCGGCTGGTGGGTTTGAACTGATGACCTTTCAGTTAGTAGGCAAGCGCTTAACCACTGTGCCACCAAGGCTCTTTGTACATGCTGCATTAGCTATTAAAAAAAAAAAATGTGTGGATCTAAACCTGACTCTACCCTGCAGTGGTGCTGATGTGTAATGACAGCTGAGCATGGTCTCCGCCCAGGGCAGAGGGCAATCTGACAGCCCAGTGCTAGGCTGCCGTCCTGACCATTTGTACAAGGACACAGAGCTATGCCCATCAGCTCAGGCGCAGACAAACAGAATGCATATCCATACAGTAGAGTATTATTTAGCCATAAAAAGGAATGAAGTACTGATCCACGTTACAACATGGATGAACCTCAAAACGATTATGGGGTTCCTCTCAGGGATGATGAAACTGTTCTCAGAATAGATTATGGTGGTCATTGCACAACTCAGTGGATACGCTAAAAATCACTGAATGGTATGCTTTAAACAGGTGAACTTTGTAATATGTAAGTTACATCTCAATAAAGCTGTAACCAAAAAAAAAAAAAAAAAGAAAGAAAGAACACAAGAGCTAAATTAATGGGGATAATCAAGCTGGATAATGATTAAGCTAGAAAACTGGGGTGGTAGGGCGGCCCCAAGCCAGGTTTTAAAAGGCTGTCTCTAGGGGAGAGGGGGTGAGGGGACTGTCTTAGGGGGAAAGGGACATGGTAGGCTGCAGCAGGAGTGGCTGACTGGTGGCTTGTCTGGGTGGCTAGACACCAAGATCTTTGGGTCTATGTCAGCGGCCACACACACCATCAACTGACAATCAGATATGACAATCAGATATGACAGAAGAGTCCAGGGAAGGACGCTGTTGAAAGCCAATGATTGCAACTAAAAGAAGTTATCGCCAGCTAGCTAAAAAGGCCTCAAAAGACTCCAAACCACAAAGCAAAAAATGAGCAGGTTCAACTAGTGATGTAGTGAAAGATGCAGCTAGAATTAGCAAAGAACATCCGTTAACCAGAAAACTAACTCTTTTCCTTTCTTTCTTTCTTTTTCAGACTATAGCCTTCATTCTCCTTTGGTGAGTACAAAACTTTCAAAACATTGTTTCTGACGTACAGTGAGCCAGCTAAAAGGATGTGTAGGATAAAATTGTCAGAGAAGCATCATCTTCTTGAGAAAGAGGGCCCTATAGTCAGTGTGTTATATTTTAATTTTCTGCCTTATCTTGCTCGAACAGGCTCATAGCACACATTTTGTTACATCACTTTTGGGTGTAAAATGTGGCCCAGCTGTTCAGTACCCTGAGCTGCATCGTTGTGAGCACGCTTCCATGTCCTTCTCTTCCCGACTTGTAGTAACTGCTGGAAAGGCCTCGCCTGAGCTGAGCGGAGCACGTTGGGGCCGATTAGGGAGCACAGTGACATTGCATTGATGGTAATTGCTTCTTAAATTGATCTGCTGTGGGGCGAACTGCTGAAAACGAGCTTTTTCTGGATTGCACATTTAGGAAAAATGGTTGTCATTGCACAATTTTTTTGCTTTTTGGGGTCCATGGCCTTGATGCCCTTGTACTTAGGGAAAGAAAACTTGAATCACAATAGGCTTTTCCCTAAGGAAACTGATGGAAGACCATCGAAGGGTAAGCAGCTCACGGGACGCTATGTGTGTGCTCCCTTGGGTTCATGTGTACCTTGGGGTTCATGCATACCTTTGGGTTCATATGTACCTTTGAGTATATGTGTCACTTTGGGTACACGTGCACCCACATGCTGTGTCTAATCACTGAAATGAGTGTACCGTGGTGTTGGCGACTACGGTGTTACACTTGTTAAATGCATAACCGTTCTTGCAATAGGTTATTCTTGCAGAATGATTTTGAGGTCAATGAGTCAATTCCTTTTCTGGGGCTGGCTGCCTCTTACCTGCCTTTCCCAGCCAGTGTGACTGCATGGCACCCTTTTACCTGGGCAGAGGTGTTCGTGGTTATTCCTGGTGTGATAAAATGCACTTCGTTGACATATACTGTTTCTCCTACCTCAGTGATGAGGGCTGAATGCCGTCAAAAATTTATCAAGCTGGAGTCCAGGAAAGCCTCCATTCGGTTACTACCTACGAAACAACCCTGTGGTCCGTGTCCTCAACTGCATTGTCACTGGGTGTTGTTGACTCTGAATGGTGCACTCGACTTGGGTAAATGTCAACAGTGGGGCCAACGAGAGGGCTCATGACTGAAATGAGGTGCAGGAGAATAGAGACTTAATTATGGGAAGTCTGCCCTCCCTTATTGCCTTGGAATCCTAAGCAAGATTCCACTTGGCTATGAGTGTTGCTCACTTGCGTGGTGTGAGTGGATAGTGAACATGGCGTTCGTCAGAAGCACTGGAAGGAGTGCCTTATGGAATGTGCCTACCAAGCTGCAGTCCTTGGGTGAACGCAAATGGTGAACGCACTCTGCTGCTGACTGAAAGGCTGGATGTTTGAGCCCACCCAGAGGTACCTTGAAAGAAAGGCCTGGTTTTCTACTTCTGAAAATCAGCCGTGGAAAATCCTGTGGAGAACAGTTCTACTCTGACACACGTGGGGTCGCCAGGAGCAGAATCAAATACATGACAGGGGGTTTTGTGTGTGGGGTTTGTTTGTTTTCACGATGTTGCAATGAGATATTTGAGAGCCAGGCCCCACAGACGCGCCTCCTTCTGAGACACAGGGCACAGATTACGGGGTGTTATGGTGGCATGGCCTTCTCTGGGTCTCGGCTCAGCACCAGCCCTCCACACCCTATCTTGCTTTCTGCCCACTCTAGTATTTCCTTACCTCTTGGCAAGTTGTCCCGCTGCCTGGCGGCGGGTCAGCGGCTCTCCCAGCTGAGCAGTGCTATGCCAGCCGCGTGAAAAGTTCCCTCACTTCTCCAGCATTGTCTCAAAACCAGCGGCAGACTCAGAAACGAGCGCCCCGCCAAGGGGCCCGAGCGTTTGTGCGGGGAGCAGACTCCTGGCACCCCGTTTCCACCATTGACACTTGGTATCCACAGCAGCTGTGGGCAGTGCCTTTCCTCCTCCGGGCCAGTCCTTCCCCCCATTTCAGTACAAAAGCAAAGTTCTGCTTTAGAGAGCTGTTGAGCTCTTAGATTAAAGGACTTGTGATTCCAAGAACTTTCACCCCGATGTGAGGAGAGGGTGTAGAGCTTGTGAACCTCACGTGGGTGCTCCCGGACTTGCTACCAGGGTCCGGAGTCTCCCTGCCGGGCCTTTGGGACACCAGATGGGCCTTTTAACCTATTGCATTTTCGTTTCTAAGCATTTGAGACTCATTTCAGAGCTTCAGGATTTCAACGAATAGAAGGGAACTAATTTCTAATCTGTAGGATTAGTCAGAAAAAAATGTTAACTAAACCGTTCACCTGGGACAGGAGCGGAAGCCTCCGGAGTGTCACATGCTCCGTCCACAGCTGGTGGGCCTCGTCCAGACAAGCAGCCCATGAATACTTGCTGAATAAACACAGGGACCTGTGGGAGCTTCCTTTTCTCTCACAGTCACTTCCTAAGATTACTGTGACGTTTAAGTGGAAAGGCCCAAGTAAGCGTTTAACAAATGTTAGCTGTTGTTATCACTAAAAGGTCCCTGGGTGGCTCAGCTACTAGCCAAAGGTTGCCGGTTCGTATCCACACAGCAGCACCAGGAAGTAAGGCCTGGTGATCTGCTTGCATAAAGACTGCAGGCAAAAAAACCCTATGGAGCAGTTCTACTCTGCAATACACAGGGTCTCCGTGAGCTGGAGTTGACCTGACAGCAACTGAATTTTTGGTTTCTTTTCTTTTTTTTTTTGCTACCATTGCTCTTGTTATTACTTGTTGTTAGATGCCATTGAGTTGGTTCCAACTCATAGCGAGCCTGTGTACATCCTGTGCCATCCTCACAATCGGAGGTATGTTTGAGCCCATTGTTGCTGCCGCTGTGTCAGTCCATCTCCTTGAGGGCCTTCTTCTTTTTCACGGACCCACTACTTTACCAGGCATGATGTCCTTCTCCAGGGACTGGTCGCTCCTGATAACATGTCCAAAGTAAACAAGACGAAGTCTCACCATATTTGCTTCTGGGAAGCATTCTGGCAGTACTTCTTCCAAGACAAGACAGATTTGTTCATTCTTTTGGCAGTCCATGGTATATTCGATATTCTTCACCAACACCATAATTCATATGTGTCAATTCTTCTTTGGTCTGCCTTTTTCATTGTCCAGCTTTCACACGCATATGAGGTGATTGAAAAGACCATGGCTTGGGTAAGGCACATTATAGTCATCAAAGTGACATCTTTGCTTTTTAACACTTTAAAGAGGTCTTTTGCACATCGACAGGGAACTGCCGGAAATTCAAGCTGGATTCAGAAGAGGACGTGGAATGAGGGATATCATTACTGATGTCAGATGGATCTTGGCTGAAAGCAGAGAATACCAGAAAGATGTTTACCTGTCTTTTATTGACTATGCTAAGGCATTCAGCTGTGTGGATCATAACAAATTATAGATAACATTGTAAAGAATGGGAATCCCAGAGCGCTTAATTGTGTTGTGAGGCAGTTGTTTGAACAGAGCAAGGAGATTCTGCATGGTTTAAAATCAGAAAACCTGTGCATTAAGGTTGTATCTTTTCACCATACTTATTCCATCTGTATGCTGAGCAAATAATCCAAGAAGCCGGAGTATATGAAGAAGGACGTGGCATTAGGATTGGAGGAAGACTCATCAAACAACCTGTAATGTGCAGATGACACAGCCTTGCTTGCTGAAAGTGAAGAGGACCTGAAGCACTGACTAATGAAGATCAAAGACCACAGCCCTCCGTATGGATCACACCTCAACATACAGAAAACAAAAATCCTCACAACTGGACCAATAAGCAACATCAGGATAAAAGGAGAAAATATTGACATTGTCAAGGATTTCATTTTACTTGTATCCACAATCAACGCCCATGGAAGCAGCAGTCAAGAAATCAAATGGTGTATTGCATTAGGCAAATCTGCTGCAAAGGACCTTTAAAGTGTTGTTATAATCCACATCAACAAAAAAGTATGGCAACTGTTTCCAAGTTTTAAAAACTGCATCGAACTGGTAGGCATGTATGGACGGGTGCTATAAAGGATATCAAATGAAGTTCCCTTTTCTAGCAGCAAAAAAAAAAAAAAAAAAAAAAACTTCTACATTAATTAATATTTGACGTTCAAAAATGGAGTCAGTTTTCTTCCCTGTCGAACGGGGTTAGGACGAGTCTCTGTAGCACAGTTACCCATTCTTGCATAATGCTTTTTTGCTTTTTTTTTTTAAGCAAAAAAAACAATAGACTAGCATTTAACAATAGATTTGGGGGAACAAGGCTATAGTTTGTGTTGATGGTCCAACAGGACCAAAGTTCCATGCTGGAGAACGCCCACAACTCAGCGGGTCTCAGTTGTCAGAGTATTTAAGTCATGGAACGGAGCTTCAGAATTGAGAATTTATGGAAGACACATAATTCATTGAAATATAATTTCAGTATTTCTCCAGACTCTTTGAGGTCTTATATTGTTATACCTAAGGGTACCCACCAGTAAGTAAAATTAAAATGATGCAGTAACTCGACTGTCTCACGTTCATTCACGAAAATACCAAAGGAATAACAGAAAACTAAATTAAAGTTCTGATATTAAGTAACAGTGAATTTCGATTGTAAAATTAATGTAGAATATTCATTCACTAGCCTTCGCCCGTCACTTTCAGCACCTGTGATCTTTCTTGTCCGAGGTCATTTTTCTTCTTTGCTGTTGGAGGGGAAGAACCTGAAGGTTTTGAAGTAAAGTGCAGGGTAAAGCACTGTGTCCACGCTTCCAGCTGCGTCAGCTGAGGTTACATTTCAGCTGGGAGGACAGGAGCCGTCCACCCTGGGCTGGCCTCTGTACAGAGGGATCTGCAGAAAGCAGTGAGACACACGGTGTGCGTGACACTTGCTCATATATTTGATTCCTGTGTTCTTCCTTTGCCGTGTTCTTGAGTTTTTGATCCCTGTCAGTGGAGTCCCTGGGAGGTGCAAAGAGTTAAGTGCTTGACCCGACACAGGTAGTTCAACACCGACAGGTTGGTGGTTTGAATCCACCGAGAGACAGCTTGGAAAAAAGGCCTGGCTATCTACTTCTAAAAGATCACAGCCATTGAAAACCCCGTGGAAAGCAAACTCTGACAAACATGGGGTCACCATGAGTCAAAACTGACTCTACGGCAACTGGTATGGATATTTTTCTCTAACGGATTCCACGGGTTTCCTCTCTGAGCAAAATTTGCCTGTCTCAACACCGGGGTGGTTATTCTTCTGCATACCGAACTGAGAAGCGGACGGTACACTGGAAGAATTCCTTTAGAAGTGGTGGTGACGAACAGATTAATCCCTCCTTTATTTCCATTTCCATTTTCCCCCAGGAAAGTTTCAATGTTCTTCCAAGAAGCACCTCCTAAAAGGCATTTGTCACATAGCAAAAGCCTGGACGTTTAACAGTCACAGCTTCCACTTAAGAGAAAACAGGAACCCAAAGTTCCTATATAAACTCATGTCTCATTGAGCTGACGGCAGTGCAGAGGTAGAGTTCTTGTTCTAGAAATCCCTTGCTGCTGACAGAAAACATGGATTCTCCAAGGCCAAGATGGGTTCCCAGCGCCAGACCGGTAGGAAAGGAGGTACAGGGGGGGCGGAAAGGGAAACCTTTTTTACCGCTTTGAATTTTTGTTGTGGTTGCTTATAGTATAATTTCTAAAATATTTAAAAATCAGGCTAAAGAATATTATCAGGAAGCCTCCATTAAATGAAAATTTGGCAAGCACCCCTGTTAACTTTGTCCAACGCTGGTGCAGGAAATCTGGGATTTATGTTTCAGGAAACCATTTCTAATCCACCACAGCTCAGCCAAAAAGTGCGCTGGGGTTGACAGAGAGGAACTGCCTGCGTTGGGTCTGCCGGGCCTGGCAGACCGCCGGGAATCAAAGGTGATGTTCACCTTTCTAGAAAAACAATTCCCAACCGTTGTTAGGGCCTAGGCTAGCTGGCTGACCCAAGAAAAGTCACCCATTTTTAGTTGCATGTTTCCTATTTTTACGACCAAAATCATGATCTTAATTTTCCCTGACAACTGAATTTGTGATGTGGCATTTGAATTAAAAATGTCACCCTGCGTAGGTGTGAAGTCCTGGGAAGCAGGACAAGGAGCTTGCCTTCAGGTTTACGTGGCCAGGCCAGCGTTTCGTGTGTAGGGTTTTCCTGTCTGTGTCGTTCAAATTCCAGAAAACAGATGGCTTGGTCGGCAGCAGGGCCCGTGGCAGCTGCCCGAGGAGAAAAAGAAAACTCGAAATTCATAAACCATTTGGGCATGTGAGTTACAGAGAGCTTTCTCAGACCCATTGAGCTGCTGTGTCAGGAGCGGGGTCTGGTGACAAGTGGCAGGCATGTGGACACAGGGGAACTCGCCCTTCACTGCACTAGATCCACCGGGGACCCCTGTGCATATTGTAACATAAGATGAGACAACATTCTGCTCAAAACTCTTGGCGTTTAAAACCACTTACTATGATGCAGAGTTTGGGATGAAGTATTTAAAATGTTCGGAGATGCAGGATCCCTGTGGAATCGCT